CCAAGAGCCCTGGAATGACCTCTACACACATGCATATACAACCTGTTGACAGATGCTGGCGTAGCGGGCAAGCACGTTGGCATTCTCCAGGATTGCCAGGGGAGAGGGTGTATGATCACTGATCTTCAGCACGCAGCGCCATTTGGCAAAGTCGGCCCCATCCTTCTTGTACTGAGCGCAGCGTTCAGACAGCCCATCCAGCCCTGGGGCCACAGCGTTAGTACTTGCTAGTACCCTGACACCCTTGCCCAATACTACCCTAACCCTTTTCCATGGTCCCAACTGCTCACACAGGTTCCACTCCCCACCTGCCACCCACCCCTGCAGCCCTGACCCTCCCTACACTTCAGGCACCCACATTGTTAACAGTTCCTCCTACCTTGTGTGGTGGTTTCTCCATCAGTTCCAGCTAAAGCCACCACACCTTTATCAACCTGTAGGAAAACATGAAGGTGAGGCCAAAGACAGGAGCAGAATGTCTACCTGTCACCCTGGGAGAATATATCTCCCCAGTGCTCCCCAACCCAAATGGTCCTGCCCCTTCTCAGGACCCAACACTCTCACCTTGATGCCCACAACAATGCCCTTGTCCTGGATGGTGCGGACAAAGGGCACCCCATCATCGCCCTTCTGGTAGAGGGTCTCATGGAAGAAGATGACACCCCCAATACATTTCTTGATCCTTCCATCGGCGCTGAACAGGACCTGGCGGTACTGCCTGCGATTCTCCTCAGTATTCTCCACCCCAATCTGGCTGAGCCGCTTGGCCATGCTGCCTGAGGGTGAGCAAGGAGGCATCGAACATTGACCAGATCGCCCCTCCGTTCTGGGATCCTTGCACCACCACTGTGCCCTTCCTTCCCACCTACCTACTGACTCATCAGCTGCCAAGATGCCCTTGCCCGGAGCAACAATCCGAAGTGCAATGTCCGACAGCTCCTTCTTCTGCTCAGCAGACAGGGCTGGGTATACCTGGGGCATGGTGGCGGTCTTCTCTCCTCTTGACTAGATGAAATTAAATGGCTTCTCTCACTAGAGGGGTTGGCAAATGTGTAGAAGTCAGTGGCTCTCCTTGGCCTGGGTCCTAGGTATCACAGCAATGTATCGTACTTTGGCAGTACACAGCCTAGGGGGCTCCATCCTACAACCATCTCCCTCTGTCCCCAGTGGGCACCCTTCCCAGCCCTCTGGCTGGCCCTAAAGGGAGGGGGATGGGTAGCTGTGGGAAAGCACACCATCTTGCAAAACTGCTCTCTGGGTACCTCAGGGCTTGGGGGGGGAGGGGATAGGGAGAGGCATATTCTACCAGCCCTGGGATCTTTAAGAAAAATGCTATTCCAACTAGCACACTTCTTTGGCCTTCAGTTTTCTCATCTGTAAAATAAAGAGTTTGGATTAAATGACGCTCAAGACCCTTTTTACCTCTATTATCTATGATGCTATGAAAAGAAAAGGGATAAATTGAGAAAAATAAATGTCCTCAGCCCCACCTCTCCCTTTTTCCTTGAAGGAAAAGCATCCTATATGGGTAGGGAGCTGCTAATGGCGTCTTTGACTGGGCACTAGCTTCTACCTCCCTTGCTTATAGCAAATGAGACTGCTGTGCCAAATGTCTATTAGAACAGATCCTGGGGTTCCCTTTTACTCTGGGGAAGAGACATTGAGGAATCTGCTAGAAGCACTCAGCCCTTCTATCTGAAGGGGTTGGAGACAATGAGGTTTAAGGAGAGGGTTAGGAGATGGAATGTGGCATTCCTAGGTATCTCTTCCCTTCCCTACCCCTCTCTAAATCTTCTCAGATGGAACGGGGCTCAAATAAACATCGACACAGACATAGATAGGGCAGGGGAGGTGAGGGAGGTGAAGGGTTAGATGAAGAAGATTAAGCCTCCAAGATATACGGTGGGGGCAGGGAGGGAGAAAGGAAGAAAAGTGGGCTACGGTTGGTTATACAAGAGATGGGGAGGGGTCAGGGAGAAATCGAAGGATGGAGAAAGTGGTTAAGATAGATACCCGTCAATAACTAGAGGGAGGAAGATGCATAAGGGAGGTTAAGGTGGTGGGGAAGGGAGAAAAAGGGGGCTGAAAAGGAAGGCTGGGGACTACGGAGATGAGAAGATGAAGAGAGAGAGGCCAGAGAAAGAGACAGGAACGAGAGAGCCCAAACAGGGGAGGGAGGGAAGGAGGGGAAAGAAGGATGGTTTGAGAAACAGGAGGAAAGGTAAAGCAGGAGGAGCCAGAAGCGCAGGAGGAAAGAGCCCAGGGAAGCAGAATCCCGCCGTCCAAAAACGCTACGGGTTGCAGGTGGGAAACCTAAAAAGGAAGGCTGCCGATAGGGAGGGGAGAGCCCGGGCCAGTGAATGGCTGGGGAGGGAGGGACGGAGCCGACTGAAGCCGCGTGGCTGGAGCCCGAAGGGGCTGGGAAGGAAGGAGGCTGGAGCCTGGGGCGCCGCGCACAGCCGATCGAGCCTGCCCGGCAGGGCTGCAATGGGCGAGGGAGAGCCGGAGCAGCGCAGCGCCCGGGCGCGATTCTTACCGGAGCCTGGAGCGTGGCGCGCGGGGTCCAGAAGTCTGGGGCGGTTCGGGCAGAGGCTCCGCTAAAAGAGGCTGCGGCTGCCGCAGAGCTACGTGACTTCAGCGGGGGGAGGAGCCAGCTCCGCCCCCTGCCCGCCTCCGGCTCGGACCGGCTGGGGCGGGGGCCAAGACTGAACCTGCTTCCCTCCTTCTCCTGGAGGACGGGGTGGGCTGGTTCTGCAGCCAGATCTGTCTAGATGGCCCTGGCTACCGTCAGCCTCCTTATTCCCTTGGTTTATCTGCCCTTCCCCCATTCCACACCGCAACGGACAGGAGCCTCCCTCCCCCCACCTCATCCTGGGAGGGGTGGGCGAAATAGAAAGAGACCCATTTTGTTCCACCAGGCCCAAAGCCCGGGAACAAGCTGTCCAGTGCCCAGCACAGCGTAGGCCCTGAATGGGAAGGGCTGCGGGCTAGGCGAGGCCACCGCCACAGTGGCGCAGAGGCCTGGCCTCCTGAGGCAGAGCAGCATCACGCAGAATTGAGAATCCTGCTGCCCGGCGCCCAGCAGGAGTGCTCGGCCTCACATTCCCTCAACACAAATGATTCAATTCCATGAGCCTTTATTAGGTGCGTATCCTGGGCTAGGCACTAACCCCTGTCCTCAGGGACCTTACATTCTACTTCAAGAGCACAACACATACACAGATGAATACAAAGTTTATGCAAAATAATACAAAGATATTTCAAAAGACGCGGGAGGTGAGGAAATCAGCATAGGTTCTGTGTAGAACAGGGTTCCTGAGCTGTGAAATGAATGGAAGGATTGGGGAGGTGGAGTTTGAGAGAATGCATTCTAGGTCACCTGTGTAAAGATGTCACACATGGGGCAGTTTACTTCATAGGAGGGTGTGAATAGGAGCAAACGGAAGATAGAGAAGGGACCTTAGGGGTCAGCTAGCCCAAAGCCCTCCTCCTACAGTGAAGCAACTTGCCGACCTAAACTCCTTCCGCACACCGTCAGCAAGCGCCAAGCCTTTGTTGTCACCCCCTCCAGGGCTGGTGCATCTGTCCCTTTCTCTAGTCCAGCCCCTCCCGCCTCTCATCTGAACCATTACAATACAGTAGCCTCCAAAGTGGTCCCCTGTCCAGTTCCTTCCCTCTCCAATCAGCCTCCACACAACTGACAAAGTTATATCTAAGGCACAAGTCTGACCACGTCACTCTCCTGTTCAGGAAGCTTCAGTAGATAAAAAATGCCCACTTGACATTGAGTCCTTCATATTCTGGCTCCCTAGTCACTCCACTCCAGGCAAACTGTTTTCTGCCATTCTTCCACAGACAAGTCCATCTACCACTCTGGGGTCTTTGCACTGAACACTCCTCATTCCTCACCGGGCAGTACTCTGGGAGAAGCTCATTCCGGGGATAATCTCACTCTTAAGAGCCCATCAGCCTTGAGACTCCTGTCATCACTACTAAAGCCTCTCACATTGAAGGGTGGAGCCAAGAACTCCAGACCTCCACTTCATAAGAAGAGCTCAGCTCAGACATCTCATTGCTCAGGAGGCAGCCCTTCTCTGGGATGAATCCCCTGGGCTGGGTACTTTCTCTCCACTTCCCTCTCCCCCTTCTGTTTCCTTCAGTGTTTGATGTTCTCCCCCCCCACACACACACACCATTAGATAGTAAATTCCTTGAGGGCAGGGAATGCCTTCTTTTCATATTAGAATCCCTAGAGCTTAGCAGTGCCAGGTTTGCAGACTAGCACAGCAGAGGGAAACATAAGCTATCTCCCCATCTAGGCCTCTTGGAACTCCAGCTCAAAGGCCACCTCTTTCAAAATTCCTCTTTGTAGTGTTTTCCAGCATTCTTTAACTGCCTGTAATCTGCTCCTACCATTCTAACTCTCAAAGTCCACAGATGACTTCCTAATAACTAAATCCATTTTTTCCTCAGATCTCTTCTTGATCTATGTAATGCTGTTGACAGCCCCATCCCATCCTTCTTGAAACACTTCTCATTGGCTTCCAAGACACTGCACTCTGCTGTCCCTCTTCCTGAGCTATTCTTCTGTCTTTCACTAGTTCTGATTCTTCCACCCTCTAGTACAAAGGAATTTGGAAGCCAGATGGTGGAGGGCTTTAAATGCCAGACTGAGGATTTAGAATTTTATCCAAGAGGCACTGAAGACAATTTATGGAAAAAATTTAATAAAACAACTTTATTCTTTGCTGTCTGTTTCAAGCATCTATGATTTCATCGGCACCCCCTCTACTACTGATCACAACTCTCCCCACCAGGACTATCTTTGCTGAATCCAAAACAACTCATCTTCTGGTGCTTTGTTTCTATGCTTGCATGACAGATATATGGTCCATTTAAAGTTAAACCTGGAAATCGTTCTTGATTAGTAGGACTTGCTAGAGTTTGCAGACCACGGGTATGACCTTTGAAAACTCAGAGTCACCACTCCACAAGGAAAATTTATCCTAAATAAATTTATTCAAACGTTAAATACACTTAAGTAGATACAGACTACTGTCTTCTTCACATCATCTTTTCTTCTTCCCTATCCAGCCTCCATCCCCCCCCCAAACAGGTCCCATCGTTTATCTCAGTAATTGCACCACTTTCTGCAGCTCCTGGCAGCCACTCACAACCTCAGGAATGTTCGACAAAGCCTGAAGAGAAGACAAGGCGAAGAAGGACAGGCAGCTTAGCTGGTCACTATTGGCCCAAAAGCCCTTCCCCCTCTCTCCCCAACATCAATGGAAAAAAAAGGACCCTTTTTGGGTCATGGAGCCCTTTGGCAGTTTGGTGAAGCCTTTCTCAGAATAAGGTTTTTAAATGCATAAAGTACACAGGGTTACAAATAAAGATGCAACCCCCCCCCATCAAGTACACAGACCCCTTGAAATTTATCCACAGATTCCTTGGCGGGGGGTGGGGGGTCCAGGGACCTCAGATTAAGAACCACCGCTATGGAGCAAATCTCTAAGTCACTGAAATTTATTACATCTAATGGAAGCTCTGCTCCTCTCTAGAGAAAGGGTCTGCACTGACCATCATTTTCACCTCTGTGATCATTGTACCTCCTCCTGATGGAGCCCCACTGTGCTTTTCATTGGATCTTTCCAACTGTCCTGTGGCTGGACATTCCTCTAGGTGTGTTGTTTCTCCCAATTAAAACAGGACCTCTCTGGGAGCAGAAATGGCCTCCCTTTCCTAGCTGTATTCCATTCCTTTAGCACGGGGCCAGGCACGTGCTTACTATTTTTTCATTTCATTCCCACCCCATCCCCCACCCCTGTTTACCTCATGGACCTGTTCTAAGATGTCATCCAGCTTCTCCAGCTCTTTCTCTGAACACCGCAGATTCTCTTCTAAAATGTTCCTCTGCCGGGGCAATAGAGAGCGTTAACCCTCATGCTAGGGGAAGGAGACTGGACAGACTAACACAGAGTGGGACAAATGGGACACTTGTCAAGCACCAAGTGGGAGAGAGACTCAGCCACACAACTTACGTGGCTCTGAGACTTGGCCAAGAGGGCTGCCTTCTCTTTTTCCATATCAAGGAGTAATAGCCTCAGTTTATCAACCTACGGAACAATTGTTTTTGCAATCACACTGGGCTGCGCCTTCATTCCCAACGCTCTGGAAGCCTCTGAATGGAAGCCCACTTCCCCAGCAGGGCCCATGCACTACCTCCTGGCACAGCCACACTTTCTCCTGAATCCAAGCAGTGTCCATGGGCTGAGAATTCGGATTCTGCTGGCATGCCAACGCCTCCTGGAGCACCTTGGCCTCCGTCTCTGATCGCTGTAACAATCGGGTGAGCTGGGTAACCTCTTCTCGAAGGCTCTAGGGATGAGAGGAACGGTCAGCAATAGCACTGGCCTCAGGCACACAGGCTCCTCTTGGCCAGGACAGCAGTGAATCTCGGTGCTGCCAAGGAGGGCAGGGGGCCGGGGATCACAGCCAACGTACTGTGAATTCTCCAAGCTTATCTATCTGCTCCAGGATCTTCTTGTCCTGCTGTTGGATCACTTCCTGGAGTTCCTTCTCATTCTGTGGGAAAAAGAGAGGGCAGGGAAAGTTTGGGTCAGGCCATGGGAGAGCTGGCCTCATGTCATACCTGTAAGAAACCGAGGCAGTGCTAATCCCATGGTGACGCTCAATGGCACAGTTCAGCTACAGTCTCTACCTTCTTCCCAAGTGGTGCCAGAACCCTCAGTACCCATACAGCTAATATGACCTTTCCCATGTTAAGACCCCTTTTTCCTGGGTCTGCATGGAAAAGAAGAGGTCAAAGCTGCTAAGCCTCATCCCTCTAACCCTTGGTAGGGCAGAAGTAGGGCAGTAGCTGGAAAATCCCCACTCAGCCAGAATCCTAGAGGAGCCATGGGTCCCACTGGGCCCATCTGCTGTCCCAGTTCTGTGCCGCCCCAGTTCTAGGCCTCTCCCTCACTTTGTAGCGCACACACAGGGCTTGGCTGAACTTCTCCACCTCTGCCTCTTGAATCTTCAGGGCCTCCTGGTACTGTTCCTCCTGGGCCTGCAGTCTGACTTGTAAACGGCATCTGTGGAAAAGAGTTCTGCTTTATTCCTTTATGGGGGCGCGGGGGAGAGAGCAGGACTGGTGTGAGCACAGAACAGAAACGTGTCCAAGGACTGCCCTGCACCTCCTCTCCCTTCGCCCCTCACGCTGTCCCAGCCCAGCTCCCCCCAGTGCCCCACCCTTCTCACATTTCTCGCTGCAGGGCCCCAACAGCTTCTTCTTTTGAGTCCTGAAGCCTGGAGCACAGGGTCTGAGCCTCGTTCAGCAGGCACGCCAGCTCTTCCAGACTCTTCTCAGTGTGGGAGACCCCTGGGAGAATGGGCCCCAGAGGGAAGGTCAGCAGGCTGAAGTGAGAGGACGCAGCCCACTTCCTTCCCTTTTCACACAGTCACAAGTGAGAAGGATGCTCCAATCAGAAAGGACCGAATACATTATCAAGGGAAGAAGAGTGAAGAAGGGTACCACCTGAGCAGACCCCAAAGAAGCAAAGTGCAGGCAACAGGGAAGTGTCCACAGAAAGAGCACACATCTCACGTCATCACTTCACAAGTAATGATGACATGCCCACGATGTGCCAGGCAAACAATGATACAAGTGAGACGAGCCCAGGGACCTCCAAGCCCCTCAGCTCTTCTGTGGATAAATAAAAATCTCTGGAGCTCACCCTGATCTGCATGCCAAAGAGAGATCTGGGATTCCACTTGAGTGAAAGAACTTCTGTCACTTCTGAGCAAAGGGCTGAGGTCGGGTTCTAACTCTGAAAAAGAATCAATTGGAGGCCAGCGAACTAGTGCCTCTGTCATGACCCTACTCTAATGATGCAAAGTGACCAACTTAGGGCTAGCCTGTTTCAGTCAGGTTCATGATCTAGAGGGGCTGCCAGCTCCCCATGGCAGACCCAATTCACTTGGGCTTCCTCACCTCCTTCCATAGCTCTTAAAACACTGCCCAGGAAGCTGTCGTCATTGGGTTGGAGGTGCTGGGCAGGGGTCTGTGCTGTACTCAGAGAAGGGCTTCCCGGCTCGGCCTGTGGACAAAACCAGAAGGAAAGAATAGGCAGTCGACTCTCTCGGGGCCTGAAGGTTTTCCCCATACCCTTGAGGTGCTCATTCACCTGGGATCTGGCACCAGGGAAACAATCAATTAGGCATTTATTACCCTGTACATTCTGCCAGGTATGGTTCAGGATATAAAGAAGTGTAAGACAGGACTCTTAACAAAGGAGCTTATGAACTAGCTAAGGAGGCCAGACAAAACTCAAAGAAAGGCACTATGTGACCAAATGCCAAACATAAGGGTGAAGACTATAGGAACAGAGAAGAGACCACTGGGACCAGAATGGTCAAAGACATCTTTACAGAGGAGGCGGGGCTTGAGTTGGGTATTATTTATTTAGGTTGAGGGGAAGAAAGGACAAGGACTTCTAGGAAGGGGGACGGTCATAAAGCAAAGGCAAGGAGGCCAGAAGGCAAATGACACATTCAGGAAGTAGTGCTAGAGAGGCCTGTCTAGCTGAAGTAGAAGATTCATCTTGGGGAAGAAAGGTAAGTTACATGGAGTCAGGCTGGAGAAGGCCTTAAAGAAGGTCCAAGCGAAGAAGTCTTAGTAAACATCATACAGTCACTAAAGGTTTCTGAGTAGGTGCTCTAATTAGCATTAGAAAGATCAGCGTGGCAATGAAAAGCAGTCTGGACTGGAGGTGAGGAGACAGGGCACAAGTGTCCCACCTCCTTGTTTAATGTTGTCTGCAGTGACAGAACCAGGTTATGCAGGTTCTGACTAAGCATGGACAGCTTTGCTGAACTTTGGGGCATCTTCTTCAGCTCCTGGGTCTCTGCTGTCGCGTCAGCCAGTCTGGCCCTGGATGAGGATACGAGGATGGGGGAAGGTAGCCAAGTGTCAGGATGAGTCACCTCCCACGACTGCTCCCCATGAGGAAGGCAGCCCAACACAGGGAATAAGTGCCCCTGGGTCATGTGACACAGCCTCCCTGGAATACTCAAATTCTAGAGCCTGCATCTGGCAAAGCGAAGGGAGATATTACTCAAGGCTGTCCACAGAGTCCTGGAGCTCCTTGCACTGCGCAGTGCGCGCCTGCAGTACCGACTGGGCGGTTTTCAGCTGAGATTCCAACCTAGTCAGCTCCGCGTGGGCTACTTGGTTCTCTTGGTCCAGAAACTGGGAAGACAGAACAATGAGGGAAGGGACGGGGATGGGTGGAGAAGCAAGATACTGAGTTTCAAAGTCTTGGGGGGATGCAGCCTCTTTCAGTCCCATGTAATCTACAGACCCCAGAACAAGGACATTTGGGGAAGAATCAGTAGTTGGGGCTCTCAGGCTTTCCCTACCACCAACCACAGCACTCACCTCTACAGTCTCCCTCAGTTCTCCAACTTCCTCTGTGAGGGCTGCCCGCTGCTTTTGCTGAGCCGACTTCAAGGTTGCTGCTGCCTCCTGCCACCTATCAAAGGCCTCCCTTCAGCCTTCCGCTGTATGAATGACAAACCCCTGGGCTTCCCAGCTCCTGCAGGGACTCACCAGGCAACCTGTTCTTCCCTATTCAAAGTGAGCTCAGCAAGGGCTTCATCCCGAGAGGCCAGATCCTGGGCACAACGGTCATACCGGTCCTGGAGCTTCTCCAGATGACTCTCAGTGCTAGCCAGGCTCTGCAGCTGCAGCTGCAGATCTAAACCAGAGTTTGCCCCCGTAACATCCCCGTAAAATGCTGCTCTCAACTCTTCCCAAAACAGAGCAGCTGCTGGTCTCTGGGAAGCAGCAGAGTAAGTGAGTGGCTCAGGGAAAAGAGCACTTAAAAAGTCACCCTTTAGAACAGGTCCTCATAACAGACTAGGGAAGAATCCCTCTCCTCCCTTCCCACTGCAGATCTGTGGCTCTTGGTACAAAGCCTTGGCCAGCCTTCAGGAGGGGTATCTATACCTGCTGCCAGCCGTCTGTTTTCCAATTCCAGCTGCTCAATTTGGGCCTGGGAGTCCTTTAACTGAGCAGAGACTTGGTCCAGCTGCAGGGAAACCTGCGAGGAAAGGAGCATTTAATTCCATCCTGGGCCAAGGATCTTAAGGCTTAGTCTAGTTTTCCTACCCTGGGAAAAGCAGTACAAAACAGTAAGCCATCTTGCTCCTGACAGAAACAGGGCAAGAAACAAGTTTGTGGCTAAACCCCAGGGCAATAGCAAAGGAAGGGGAAGAGCAGAAACACTGGCACAGTGTAAGGGCTCAGACCCACACGGCCAGATCTGTGGCACAATCTTCCATATGACCCTCTATACTGGCCAGGCTCGGCAGGTGACTTCATATATAAAACAACAGAATGCCAAAGTCTAACCTACAGGTTAGATGGCTATTCTCAATTCATAATACAGAAGGAAGAAAGTCCTACAGTGAAACATGGATGAAAAAGCAGATTGGGAAGATCACTGCCAGAGGGAGTGACAGATCCCACAGCAACCAAGCCTAAGCATCCCCCTCTGCCTTATACCTGTTCCTCCTGCTCCCTGGCTACATCTCGCTCATGCAAAGCCTTCTGACTCTTGGTTATCAAAGGCTCCATTAACTTCTGGGCCTGATTCAGCATGGCTGCCCACATTGCATACTGCCAGGAGACAGAAAGAGCCAGTCAGAGGGGAAGGTACAGGAATGGAGAAGGAGAAGGACCAGGACCATAATGAAGACACACTCACATCTAGCTGCACTGTAACCCAGTCCTCTTGTAAGGTGGAAGCAAGCTGGGTTGCCTGCTGTGCCATCTCCTTCTGCTCCAAGTGAAGGGAAGCCTGCAGGTGGAAAACAACCAATCCCTTAAGAATGCAACAGGGTACGGCATGTAGGAAAAAATGGGATAACCGTTCTGTTTCTCACTGTGTACTGATGAGGCACCTCCTGACCTCTATCTGCCTCCCCCCTAGATTACCTGCTGGGCTTGGGTCTCCCTCAGGAGACCACAGAGCTCCCTCTGTGATTCCAAATCCTGCTGGAGCTCGCTGATACGCTGACTGAAATGTGCACAGAAGGCCTCCAATATTGTCTCTGCCTGGCCAGAGATGGAAACAGATAGCACAGAAAAACCCATTCCCATCTCCCCCCAAAGAGCTGCCCAATATCCCTGTTGGTGGCAGAGCTCCACATCTGCCCCTCTCCCCCTAGCCCCCAGCAGTCTGCTGTCAGAAGCTCTGGGAAGCAGCAGGCACGTGGAGCTGACCTCAGCAGAGCTGCCACCCAGGAGGGAACCCTGGCCCTTACTGCATTTTTTCCTCTGACGGCTGCTTCTTCTCGGCCCTTGGCTTCATCCCTCTCTTCCAGGAGGCTCTGGAGCTTTGTCCTGGCCCTCGTCAGCACTTCCCAGCAGCGGGAAACTAAGGCTTCTGCTCGCTGGTGCTGTGAGATGAGAACCCAGGCTCTTTCTGCGTTCTCTTCCCTTGGCTTCCAACAACCTCCACCACTGTTCTCAAAGCACTCACCTCCTGCTGTGCTGCTGTCCTGTCTTCCTGTAGGTTCAGCAGGCCCTGGGTTAGCAAGCACAAGAGGTCCCGGGACTCTACAGCCCAGGACTGCTGCAAGGGACAGATGGAATCACTTGAGTCAGCCAGGCCATCTCTAAACCCCCACATCCTGCCCTAAAAGTTGCAGCAGGCAAGAAGTAAGGTTACTAGGGAAGTGTGCTGTTTACCCTAGATGGAATGCCCTAAAATAAGGGGAAGAGGTCACTATGGCTAACCAATGTGGGTTGTCAGAGACTGACATGCTAGTTACCTAGGGAAAGGGAATAAGCATTTACATAACACCTACTGTGTGCCAGAAACTCTGCCAAGCACTTTATAAATACAACCTCATTTGATCCTCACAACTCTGTGAAGCAGGTGCTGTTGTGATTCCCATTTTACAGTTGAGGAAACTGAAGAAGGCAGCTCGAGAGGTTAAAGTGACTTTCTCAGAGTCATACAGCTAGTAAGTGTCTTGAGGCCAGATTTACATTCAAGTCTTCCTGACTGTAGGCCCAGTGCCACCTGGGCCCCTTCCTTCTTCACTTTCCCAAAGTACTGAAAACAGAGAGCCCCAGAATGCATGACAAAGGACTCACAAGAGCAGGAAGGCCAGTCCAGGGACCTACCATGACATTCGTAGCCTGTACTAGGTCCTGATGGGTCTCCCGGCTGTTCTGCAGATGCTGGGGTTCATCTGCCACCTAGAGAGAAACTCTCATCTATCTGTTCCTTCTGCCCAGATATTGTGTGCTCTCAATCTTCCGGGCCCTTCCCACCCTAGAAGGGTAGTAAGACTGATGAATGAGCCTTAGTGCCCCAACCTCCCAAAAAAGGCTGGAGTGGGGAACGAAAGGGATGGAAGAAATAGGATTAAGGTGAAATTTCAGGTCCTGGAGAAATGAGGGTGGTCTTAACGGCACAACGCCTTTAAAGATCTGGGCAAACCAGTGGGGGTGGGGGTTCACTGGTGCTGAAGTGACAGGGCCCTGGCTCAGCGTCATTATGCTGAGTCATGATGTTTCAGCAGTTTAGATTTAAAGTAGCTTTGTCCCAGGTCTCTTGGGGTTCACTCTAAAAGCTGCCTAGTTCCCCTGGAGTCCCCCGGCCTTCATTTCTTCCCAAAGCGAGGCAGCTCTCTCTCAGATGTGCTGAGAGTCACGGAGTGTCCCATGTGCTCCAGGCAGAATGTGTGTGTCCTGAACCAGGGGCAGCCAGGCGGATGATGAGATTAGTGGGATGGAGCAAGGAGGTCATTTCCCCTCTTGTTCTGCTTCAGGAGCCTCCCAAAGGACCAGGCAGATTGGGCTAGAGAGGGTACTGAGGAATGTTTAGGAATACAGAACGAGGAAAAGAGGGGACAAAGGAGAATGGAAAGGATAGCATCAGCCTACAGCTCCCAGAATTTCTTGGGCAGATGAAGCAAAAGTTATAGCCAGGTACATTTTCAACACAAACAGATTTGCTTGGTGTTTAAAGGAAAGACAGACAGACCACCATCTCTCACAGCTAGCAGTAGTCACCTCTACTCAACATCTGAGTAGCCACGACATGCTGGGGAGCTGGGACACACAGGAGGTTAGGACATTAAGGTTGAAGCTTATTCAGGCCTTCCTATTTTCCAATAATTTCCTTCCCTGAGCTAAACGCAGACAGTTCCTCTCCTCCCCAGGCCTATGCTGCCATAGCTGCACCAGTCCATCCAAGTGCACCACCTCCAATCCCTTCCCAGCCACTATCACTCCCCTAATTCTACGTGGTTCTACCTCCTAGTTATTTACTGGTGGCATTAGGAGGGAGGTGAAGAGAGGGTGAGGGCATGCCAAAGAGGAGCGTGGACACATCAGTCTTATACAATCCTCCTATAGATAAGACAACATCCACCACGTCTGCTCCTTTGCCTTATGCTGTCCACTGGGTTTTCTAGGATTGGGAACAGACCCTCTTACCTCACTGAGACAGATGTCAGTCTGTGTGCTGCTATCCTGGGTGTCAGGGTGAAGGGTAGCCCCACCATTCTGCCAATCCCGAAGTTGCCGTGAGAGGGCCTCCAGAACAATCAGGGAGCTAAGCAGATGATTTTCCAGGTCACATCTAGACAAGGCACTCATATCTGGGGGTCGGCTGCATAAAAAGGTGAAAGTATGAGATATGGGGAGAGGTGGAGGGAAAGGTGCTAAGACAGAGTCAGAGAGGCAAAGGTACAAGAGATCACTCACCACCATAGTAGGGAATCTGTCTCAGAGGCATTGTCTTTTGTACTGGCCTGCCCTGCCTGAGATGTGTTGGTACTCTTTTCCAGCAAGGCTGGGGTCTTGAGCCATGAACCCACAGAGCTGGAAGAAACAGGGGTAGTGCTGGTCCCTCTATCTAGCATCAGAGCAGGAAGGGGGAAGCTGTGGTGTAGACTCTCCAGCATAGCGGAGGTGTTCAGCCCTTTATCTAGCCATGCCAGTGGGGACATCCACGATCCAGTACTGGGACTATGAGTTTTACTAAAACCTTCCACTGTAGCAACGGAAGCCACCTGGGGTATAGTTTCTGCTGGAATCTGAGCAGGGAGCGATAGCCCTTCTGCCAGTTGGGCATCCTCTGGTGAGTGGGAAGGTTTCAGTGTCCCTCCTGTAGTTGTGAGCGATGTACTTCCTATGTCTGGGTCTGAAAGGCTGGCAGGGGGACTGACCCCTGAGACAGATGAAGTAGGTAACTGCTGGATACAAGAAGGCAGCAGAGAGTCACCTGCCAGAGGCATGGAGGCCTCAGGGATAGCTTCTGTCCCAGTGCCTACAGAGCTTTCCTCTGGGCACTGCTGCTCAGAACAGGAATTGGGGGGATTCTCTGTAAAAAGATGTGACAGAGCACTCTGGGAGATGGCTCTTTCTGGACTGGCAGGGATAGCGTCTACAGGGTTGCCTTTCAGACCAGGTACTACCCCCATGGTCACTGTATCTGTCAGAGTTGGAGAGAGGCTGAGAAAGATGTTATTTGCCTGTGCCTTAGCACTCAAGTTCATCTCAAGTGGAATGTGTGACTGCAGTCCCTGGCTAGGCCTGTCTTGGGAAGGCGAGGGGATCAAGGTCAATGTTTTGACTACATCGTCATTCAGTGGGGCCACTGATGCTTCAGAGGCTTTGGGAGTAGAACTGGTTTGAGGAGCCAGACCCAAACACTGCTCCTCTGTGTCACCCTGGGAAGCCTCAAGCTCCTTCAAAGGAACACATGACAGTTCAGAAGGGAAATCTGTCCAGACGGTCTTGGGCAATTCCAGCGGAGATGGGATGTTGTTGTCCTCTTGCTAGCAAGGAAAGAAGTCAAGGAGTTGGCAAACATAGGTCACTTTACTAACCCAGGCATCTCATCAAACATTACACATAAAGAAAGCAGGCACCCTCAGGGCCAGCTCCTCAAATTCTCTGCTCAACACAGGGGTGCTACACCATTTTGGCAAGAGGGTGCCATGCCAAGCAGAGCTCAGACTAGCTTTGTTTCATTGTAGAGAACAAGGCTGATCTCTTCAGCAACTGAAATGCAGCCTATGGTACAAAGAACAAAGCTAAGTGTTAACCTGTGCAGTCTGAGTATCAGGAGACAGCAGAAACAGGTGGAAAGCCCCCTAGGTCAGGAGATAGGAGACCTACATTCTAGTTCCAATTCTGATGCTAATTATATGACTGTGGTTAAATCCTATCATGCTCTCCCAGGACTCCAGTTCCCACCGGGTATTCCCTACTTCTTTTCTCTCTTACAAAGTGTTAGACAGTGAATCAGACAGTACTTGCTGCAGCCCTTTTAGCAAAGAATTATCTCTTCTACCAAGGCCATAAATAACTCTCGCACTCTGCGTCACTGCCAGTCAGGGGCTCCACTTTAAACTGAGCAGAGGGAGGCAGGGAGGGAAGACTTCTCTCATCAGCCACTGCCATTCGGCAGCAGCTCAGTGAAGGCCGAGTGGGGGAGGAGGTGGTAGAAACCAACAGCTAAGCAGGGGGATTGAAGTCTCGAAGGCTGTACGCTAAGTCTTCCCAGACTTTACCACCATTATTGATTTGGGTCTCCTTGTCCTAGCCCATGGCTCCCCTAGCATCTCAGGCTGGACGTAGGGCCCCACTCACAAGTCCAGCCCAGCGCTAGAAAATTTAATCTTACCTGTGGCCCTGGCTGGCACAATATGGAATTTGTTGTACAGCATGCCAAGGTGACTTTCCCAGGGCTGGGAATAACATTTGGTTGCAAGAGGAGTTCCTGGAGTGGAGGACGGTTCTCAGACTTTCCCTAAGAGATATTAGTGAGAAGGAATAAGTACAGGGCCCTTCTGGCTGACTCAGAACTCTCAAGGAACCCACCTTTCAGAATTTTAGGGTCAGAAGATATATTAGGGACCATTCAATCCCACCTCATGATTATATAGATGTAGAAACGGAGCTTTCCAGAAAGATGGCCAAGTGTAAGGATGTATATAACGCCAGTTTTCTCCCCATCTCCATCAAAATGGCTAGAAATAGATTACAAACAAAACCTCCAAAAATCTAATACATAATGAAGAAAGATTTACAGGATAAGAGAATCTTAGAATAAAAGCATAACTGATGGCAAGGTTGATAATTTTCTAAAAAGGTGTTTGCTGGGAATGAATGTAAGACCCCAAACACTGGATACTAGGGTTGTATTATTCCTACCACCACAAATTATGGATACATAAAGCTGATTTCTTAAAAGAAATACTAACAGGATTTGGTGGAAGGAAAAACAATCACAATCATGAATGGGATGCAGGGTGGCAGAACAGATTAGAAAGCAAAACCTAACAATCTACTGCATATAAGAAATACTTAAAACTTAAAGATTCATATAGAATTAAAGTGAGGAATTGGAGCAGAATTTATTATGCTTCAGCTAAATACAAAAAAAAAAGGTGGGGGATAATTATGACCTCAGACAAAACGACAATAAAAGTAGATATGGTCAAGAAGAGACAAACAAGGAAACTATGCTTACTGGCACTAGAGAGATCAAGAAAACAACAAAAAGGTATGAAAAGGCAGTTTTCGAAGGAAGACATCCAAATTACCAACAGCCTTATTTTAAAAAATGTTCTGAATCCCTGATGATAAAAGAAACACAAACAACTAAGGTTCGACCTTTTGGCAAAGATGACAAAAATGGAAAATAACGAATGTTGGAGGGGTGCTGAAAAATAGGCATATTAATGAACGTAAAACTATGAATTGGTCCAGCTATTCTGGAAAGCAACTTAGAATTAGGTTTTAAAAGAAACTCAACTCCATACCTTTGCTCCAGTGATATCAATACTAGGCCTATATCCTCAGAAATTGGAGAAGAACAGGACCCATATATACAAAAATATTTTTAGACTCTTTTTGTAATGGTAAAAAACTAGCAACTAAAGAGGTGTTCATCATTTGGGGAATGGCTAAACATATTATGGTATATAAATGTAATGGAATATTGTTTTATGGTAAGAAATGATGAAAAAGATGGGTTTTTTAATTCAATTTTATTTATTTTTATCCCAGATTCTTTCCCTTTCCCCACTCATTGAGAAAATACAAAACTCATTTCAAATAAGAAGTCATGCAAAACAAATTTTTGCATTAGCCAAAAAACAACCACACACACACACACAGAGGAAAAAGGCAGAAAAAAAATATGCTTCAGTCTGCTCTCTTGAGTTCATTAGTTCTCCATCTGGAGACAGAAAGAAAGCATTTTTCATCACAAGTCCTTTGGCATTGTTCTGGATCACTGTATTGATCAGAGAGTAACTAAGTCTGTCACAATGGATTATCTTCATACTGCTGTTTCTGTGTATAATGTTCTCCTGGTCCTGCTCACTTCACTTTGCTTCAGTTTCCACAAGACTTCCCAGATTCTTCTGAAACCATCCTCTTCATCCCTTCTTATAGCACAATAGTATTCCATCACATTCATAAACCATAATTTGTTTGGCCATTCCTCAATTGATGGGCATTCCCTCAGTTTCCAATTCTTTGCCACCACAAAAACACCTGCTATAAATACTTTTGTACATTTGAGTCCTTTTCCTTTTTCTTTGATTTCTTTGGGTTACAGATCTAGTAGCAGTGTCACAGGGTCAAAGGGCACAGTGGAATAGCTTTTGGGGCATAGTTCCAAATTATTTTCTAGTATGGTTTGTTTAGTTCACAGTTTAACCAACAATGACATTTTCCTGCATCCCCTGTGGCAGCTGTAATTTTCCTTTTCTATAATCTTAGCCTATCTGATGGGTATGAAATGGTACCTTAAAGTTGCTTTAATTTGTGTTTCTCTAATTATTAATGATTTTGAATATTTTTCATATGGATTATTAATAGCTTTAATTTCTTTCTCAGAAAACTACCTGTTCATATCCCTTGACAATTTATCAAACGGGGAATGGCTCTTATTCTTATAGATTTGGCTCAGTTTCCTATATACTTGAGAAATGAGACCTTTATCAGAAAAATTTGCTGCAAAGATTTCCCCCCTCCAGTTTCTTGCTTTTCTTCTAATTTTAGCTGCACTGGTTTTCTTTGTGCAAAAACTTTTAAATTTTATATTATCAAAATTAGCCATTTTACCTCTTGTGAACCTCTCTATTTCTTTTTTGGCTTAACCACAGATATGACAGGCAATTTCTTCCATGCTCCACTAATTTGCTTATGATATCACTCTTTATGTCTAAATCATGTAGCTATTTTGAACTTATCTTGGTATATGGTATGAGATGTTGGTCTATGCCCAGTTGAAACTGCAAATGGATAGTTTAAAAGAAACCAAGGAAGACTGATTCAGAGTAAGCTGAACCAGGAAAACATTTACACAATAACAACACTGTAAAGATGAACGTTTTTAAAAAACTGATCAGTGCAATGACCAACCACGATTCCAGAAGATGAATGATGCATGCTATTCACCTCCTGACAGAGAGGTGATGGACTCAAGCTGTAGAATAAGATATACATTTTGTGATATGGCCCGTTAGAGATTTTTCTTGACTATGCATATTTGTTATAAGAGGGTTTTTTTCCCTTTTTCTTTTTTTTCTAATGGGGGAAGTAAAAGAAAATGAATGTTTGTTAACTGAAATAAAAGTGTCTAAGAAGACAGTATCAATATCATATGTACACATACACCTAATAATGAAGCAACTAAGTAACAGAAAAATAGCTGAATTACAAGATAGATATATATAGTTAAGACAATAGTTGGTGACTTCAACCTGCCTTCTTCTGATTTAGACAAATCTGGTAAAAATAAAAGAAGTAAAATTAAAGATCAAAATGAATTTTTAGAAGACTAGATCTTTGGCAATAATTGAACAAGAATCCTAAGAACTGTACTTACTGTTCTGCATCAAAGGACACAATACCTAATCATGTACTAGGATATAAATACTACATGATTTTTACCTTAAGTTAGAAAGCTTATAACATATCACTGACAGGATATAACACAAAAAAGAATTGTAATCAGTAAAGCAAATATAGACCTATTTGGAGACTAAATAGGGTAATCCTAAACTGAAACAATAAATACATACATACAGAGACACACATATTCCCAAAGGAATGAAATTACTTGCCCAAAGTCACACAGCTATCTATGGGTGCAGTCTGGATTTTGCTTTTTGCTTGACAAGAAATGAAAGCTCTATACTACCCCTCAGTTTTGCCCTATCTTTCTTGGTTAGGCTACATGCATTTAATGGTGATGGTAACAACAACAATAAATCCCCTCAAAGCTGATAACTAGTGTTCATGTCATCAGAGGGGAGAAGATAACCAGAAAGTAGAGGAATACCAGGCAGAGAGATTTACAGTGGGATCTCTGAGTGCCCTGAGACAATTATGGTAGCTGTACAGTTTCAGAAGGAACCCTAAAAGTGGTGAATTTAGCTATGAGGACACTACTGATTAGGTTAGCGATGTAATCACTCCTAAGAATCAAGACATAGGTTACAGGCTGGGCCTACACAGAACTGCCACAGAAAGGCAAGATAACACCAAACCAGCCACCCCTCAATTTAAAAACAAAACAAAACAAAAATACCATTACCCCTTCTATTAGAAATGCTTTGGGACTGATCACTAATGTAGGCCCACCATGTGTCCAAATGACTGACGATGAATCACTGCTTTCATTATGCACCAGATAGGATATCAAAACGAGAGCCATCTTAAGGTGAGCAAGAGGCTGAACCTGCCGTTTGCCTACACTGTGCTCTGTGCCAGACTACACTAGGCGGTGCGGCCCAATGCAGTGCAGTGTTAAGAAAGAACTTCATTTCTAAGCCCAGATTGGATGAAATAACAGTAGAAATCAAGTACTTGCTTAAATCAAAAGAGGGAAAAGTACAACCTACATTCACTAAAAATCTTCACTTAACAAAAACTCCAAAAGTCCTACTCTGGCAAATGGAAAGCTGGGGGAATCTAGGAGCCAACAGAAGCAACATCATATCCTTGCCCAATTTCCTTTCAATCCTACTGTTAAATTTCCCTTTGTTAAGTGTTAGATGGGCTTGGAGTGTCTCTTTATTTCTTTTTTTAAAATTTAGCATTTTATTTTCCCCCAATTTTATGTAAAATCAATTTTTAACATTCATTTTTAAAATTTTGAGTTCCAAATTCTCTCCTTCCCTCCTCATCTCCCTCACTGAGAAGGCAAGCAATTTGATATAGGTTATACAGTCTCATTTCTTTCTCATCTAAAGAGTAAAACACTTTGAAAAGCATTGCCCAGAACAAGGTGCCTTCTTATTCCTATTCCTTGGGGCCAAACTTGGTCAGCAGTTTAGACTGTTTTGACATCAATGTGTGTCCTGTTTTCCTGGCTCTATGTACTTCTTTCACTTTGCAGCTCTATTCATCAGTTCTATTCATCAGCACAGTAACACTCATGTACCCCAACTTGTTCAGCCATCCCCCAACAGATCAGTTATCTATTTTGTTTCCAGCTCTTTTACTACTACAAAAAACAGTATCTCTAAAAGAAAAGGGGCTGCCAGCTCCTTTTGGGGTGGAAAAGAACTGGAAACTGCCCATCAAGTGAGGAATGATTGAACAAATAATGGTATATTGATGTACTAGAATATTACTGTGTATAAGAAACGATGAAGGGGATGGTTTCAAAGAAACCTGGAAGAGTTGTATGAAATAATATAGAGCAAAGTGAGCAGAATCAGAACAATTTACACAATAACAACAACATTGTAAAGAGAAACAGCTTTGAGAGACTTAGGAGCTCTGATCAATGGAATGACCAACAATTCTAGAGGACTCAGGATGAAACATGCTGCCCAACTCCTGGCAGAGAAATGATGGACTCAGAATACAAACTAAGATGTGTATTTTTTGGGAATAGTTTTGCTTGACTGTATATTTGTAATAAGGGCTTTGTTTTTCTTAATGGAGGAGGGGAGAGGACATGAGGAGAAAGCAGATTCTTTTTTCATTGAAAAAAATTAAATAAATGCTGCTAGAAATATTTTGGCATACAGGGAGCTAATTTCAGATTGAAGTCTAGAATAACTGGACAAATTTGCAGTCCCACTGACATTATATTAGTGTGCTTTTCTATCAACCTCCAGTGCTGACTTCACCAATTTGCTGGGTATGAGGCAAAACCTCAGAGTTGTTTTGCTCTGTATTCTTCTTATTATGAAGATTTCACATATTCTTTCATACAGCTAACAGTTTATATATTTTTTGAAAACTGTTCATCTACCTGAATTAAATTACATATTTAATGCCATACCAATCAAACTATCAAAAATTATTTTATAGAGCTAGAAAAAACAATAACAAAATTCATCTGCAAGAACAAAAGGTCCAGAATATCAAGGGAATTAATGAAAAGAAATTCAAGGGAAGGTGGCCTCGCTGTACCAAGTCTTAAATTGTATTATAAAGCAGCAAGCATCAAAACTGCTCGGTACTGGCTAAGAAATAGAGTGGTGGATCAGTGGAAGAGGTTAGGTATGCCAGACACAAGAGTTAATGACTGTGGCAATCTACTACTTGGTAAGCCCAAAGAATCCAGCTTCTGGGATAAGAACTCACTATTTTAAAAAAAACTGCTGGGAAAACTGAAAAATAGTACAGCAGAAACTAGGTACAGACCAACATCATACACTCTATACCAAGATAAAGTCAAAATGGGTACATGATTTAGATATAAAGTCTCATACCACAAGCAAACTAGGAGAGCGAGGAATAGTTTACCTGTCAGATCTATGGAGAAGGGAAGAATTTATGACCAGACAAGAGATAAAGAATATTATGAAATGCAAAATGGATGATTTTTATTTGAAAAGTTTTTGCACAAACAAAGCCAATGTAACCAAGATGAGGAGGAAAGCAGAAAGCTAGGAAACAATATTTATAGCCACTGTCTCTGACAAAGGCCTCATTTCTAAAATATATAGAGAACTGAGTCGAATTTATAAGAATGTAAGTCATTCCCCAATTGATAAATTGTTCAAATTGATAAATGGTCAAAGAATATTGAACACGCAGTTTTCAGAGGAAGAAATTAAAGGTATCTGTAGTCATATGAAAAAATGCTCTCAATCACTATTGGTTAGAGAAATGCAAATCAAAACAACTCTGAGGTACCACATCACACCTATCAGATTGGCTAACATGACAAAACAGGAAAATGATAAATACTGGAGAAGATGTGGGAAAATTGGAACACTAATGCATTGCTAGTGGAGTTGTGAACTGATCCAACCATTCTGGAAAGCAATTAGTAACTATGCCCAAAGGGCAATAAAACTGTGCATACCCTTTGACCCAGCAATGCCACTTCTAGGTCTATATCCCAAAGAGATGATAAAAATGGGAAAGACCCACATGTGCAAAAATATTTATAGCAGCTCTTTTTGTGGTGGCAAAGAATTGGACATTGAAGGGATGTCCATCTATTGGGGAATGGTTGAACAAGTTGTGGTATATGAATGTGATGGAATACTATTGTGCTAGAAGAAATGATGAGCAGGCAGACTTCAGAAAAACCTGGAAAGACTGATGAAGTGATGCTGAGTGAAAAGAGCAGAACCAGGAGAACACTGTATACAGTAACAGCCACACTGTACCATAACTGACTTTGATAGACTTAGCTCTTCTCAACAATGCAAGGATCTAAGACAACTCCAAAAGACTCATGATGGAAAATGCTATCCACATCCAAAGAAAGAACCATGGAATCTGAATGCAGATGAAAGCACACTGTTTGCTTTCCTTTTGTTGTTTTGTTTTGTTTCTTCTTTCTCATGGTTCCTCCCATTAGTTCTAATTCTTCTTTACATCATGACTAATGTGAAAATATGTTCAATATGAACATATAAGTAGAGCCTATATCAGATTGCATGCCAACTTGGGGAGGGAGGAGGAGAGGAAGAGGGAGAAAATTTAAAACTCAAACTCTTAGGGAAGTGAATGTTGAAAACTAAAAATAAATTAATTATAAAAAAAAGAAATATCATTTGGCCTTGATAAGTATTAAATTTTTAGTATATACTAAGGAAAAATAATGACTGAAGGCTTTAAGCTAGAATCTGGGAGTCAAATTGAACCAAAGGATAAAGACAACACTTGAACATACCCTGGTATTCTGCAAGCAAGACAAAAGAATAAAGAAAGTTATGGCTGTTTATGTAAAGAGACTTTTGTCACTTGCCAATCCAAAAGTTAAAACACAATGGGAAGAATACATTTAAAGCAACTGACTCCTCTACAATAATAGTTTAAGGTAAGCTTCTGGAATACTAAAATGGACAGCAATGTTTTAGACCCTATAAAAACGAAAGCCCGGTCCTACCTTCCAAAGAAAGAAGACTGACAGAAGTTCACAGAAAGTAAGATAAACAGGTTAAAATTTTACATAAACGCTACTGGAAAAGACATCACTTCTTATCTAGTCTTAATCACTGAATGTGCCTTGCCTCAGTCAAACTGAGACCTGGGAAAGACCTTAGCTTAAAAAGGCCAAGGTTTCCCACTGCATCCAGAGCCATCACCAGTCATCCTGATGACTACTAGGTCTGGCCACTGGACCCAGATGGCTCCAGAGGACAGAGTGAGGCTGGTGACTTTGCACAGCCCTGCCTCACTTAAATACAATTCATGGTTATCACCTTCCTGATATCATGTTCCTCTTCGAGAAATGCTGGACAAACAACAACAGTAAAGACTGGGATTAGATACACACCACTGGATTCATCTAATGTAAATCAAAAATGGTTTGCTTCCAGATAGACTCTTTGAAGGAATTAAGATTCAAGAGTGGAAAGGAAAGACTGTCTATTGGTGATGTTCACATAAATTCAACCAACAATATGTCAACAAAGAAGTTTTGAAGAAATGGCCAAGTCAGACAGATTTACAGAAATGGAGAGGTTTACAATAGACATTAGATCGGGTCACTGCCAGCAGAAACTACAGAAAAGGTTACCCTTATAGAAGCTGGATTTGATCGATGGTAATTATTCAAAGAATCAATAGAAACTGCATTATGACACATCAGGTTGCAAAAATCTAGCACCTAGAAAGACGTCAGGGTCAGATAGCTGGGAGGCCAGAATTTCATGCTAGATACTTGATACACAGATCAAAGGAAGGGAGGGAACTTGGAACTCAAAATTTTAAAGGCCAGTGTTGAAAACTGTTTTTACATGTAACTGGGGAAAAAATTTTTTTAAATAATTTTAAAAAGTAGTCATTTTATCCATCTTCCCCAACAGACTGAAGCACATTACACATAAAATAGAAGGCTAGCAGCTTGTCCCAGCACCCTTTTTATCTGAACTTCAACTCACAAAGAAGAGATTAAGACAGAAACAATAACAACGAAAATTGCTTGGTAAACCTCATAGGAATACAAAAATACAAGTTCTTATCACTTCCCACGTATACTGTGCAGGTCATGTATGCACATAATTGTTTGCATGTTCAGGGCAGGGACCACGCTTTTGTTGTATTCCCAGCCCTTAGCACAAGGCCCTTCCTGCTGTTTAAAAAAGTGCATGTGGATTGATGGCAGCTCAACAACGCTCCTGTTTATATATGCGGCTTTAAGGTTTACAAAGCATTTTTTCACAGCAACCCTGTGAGGTAGGTCGTCAAGTGCGCATTTATTAAGCTCCTACTACGTGCCAGGCACAATGCTAAGCACTGGGGATTTGAGGGGGGAAAAAAAAATCAAAAAACAGGCTTTATTCTAACGATTCAGCCCAGTGGAGCACTAGGCCTAGGGCGAACTCCGGCCAACCAGAGTTCAAGTACAGTCTCAGATCCTAAGCCGCGTAAGCAACTCACCCCTGCCTGCCTCAGTTTCCTAGACTGTAAAATGGGATGGTAAGTGCACCATACTTGCGGTGTGGAGTCACTAACTTTTCACAAGGCACTTAATGAATGAACGGCCCCTGCCCTCACGGGGCTTCTAGTCTACTATCCTACACACCGAAGTCCCTTCACTAAGAAAAGGTGCCCCTCCCCCTCTCCCTCGGGAAGAACTAACGGAAGCCCCGACAGGCCCGGCCCGGCTCACCCGCTGCGGCGTAGCCGGCGAGCCGAGGCTCCTCACCCGCCACATGGCGCGTCGGGGGTTGGGGAGGGGAGTCGAGCGCCTCGGCTCCTCCAAGTCCACCAAGCAGCCGAGAAGCAGAGCGGGGAAGGACTCCAAAGCGGACGCCTCTCCGCCATCCGCCGAACCCATTCGAACCAGCCGCGCGCTCCACCGTTATTGGCCACGGCGCCGTGACGTCACAGACACGGTCACGCCCCCAGCCTCGCTCCCGTCCGGGCCGTGCGCTCGTGGCCTCGGTGCGCTTCTGCCGGCAGGCCCAAGGGGGCGTCTGTCAGTGACTCTGCGGAGCCTGCTGAGGGTGGGAGGGGGAGGTCTGGGGCGGAGTCAGCGCTGCCAGGGGCGGAGTCAGCGCGGCCAGGGGCAGGGTCAGCGCGTGCTGAGGCTGAAGCAGCTTCCCGGTCCCCAGAGGTGATTAACAAGCCGCTAAATCCGTCTATGAATATGAACATTACAAAGATCTGTGAGATGTTTGCTTCTGCAGTTATCGAGGCTTGATAGGCTCTGGGAAGAACCGAATTATGCCAACATCGACATTTTTGCTCTTGTGAAAGTAACCCGACTACATACAGAGGTTTACAGCTAAACAAAAAGTCACTTTGGAGAAGCCATTAGAGTTATAGTAGCTAGCTTTTCACATAGTGTTGTTTTAAAGTTTGCAAAGCAATCGCATTAGCTCCTCACAACAGCCTGTAAAGGTAGATGCTATTATCCCCATTTTATAGATGAAGAAACTGAGACCGAGAGAGGGGAAGTGGTCTAAGTCACACTGCCAAGTGGCCGAGGCAGGATTCGAAGGATTTGGAGTCAGGTCTTCCTGACTCCCAAGTCCAGCTGTCTATGTCTATACACGTTGGCACCTCGATGTGTGCCGAAAAGTGAAATGACTTGTCATATCATGGGATACTTGGTCATTATGTCAGGCAGTAATCAATCAGTCAACAATCATTTATTAGGAATATACTGTGTGTCCCAATGAGCATAATATGCAAAAGAGCCGTTGTAAAGATAACCACAGTTTATGAGCCAATACTTGCTGGAGAGGATGAAGTCGTTGAGAAATTTCAGCAAGAATTTCACAAAAGCTTCCCAGATAAATCAACTGATGATAAATAACTTCAGTGTGAAGGTGGGCACAAGGGAAGATGGTTTAAAAAAAAAACTGGGAAATACAATTTGTGGTTCAGAAATGAGAGGCCAAAGGTCTGCATACTGCTAAGGAGCCTTATTTCAAGAAGAGATTTGGACCTAGTACCAAACGTTACAAAAAGTAAAATTAAAAATATCTTAATAGGAAGGAGACAATTAGTTACTCACTTTTAGAGTTCCTTTTAGAACCAGCTGTGTATTTGTCAGACCATCAGCTAGAAGGAAGGTCAAAACCAACCCCCCCCCCAAGGGGCAGCTAGGTGGCGCAGTGGATAGAGCACCGGCCCTGGATTCAAGGAGGACCTGAGTTCAAATTAGGCCTCAGACACTTGACACTTACTAGCTGTGTGACCCTGGGCAAGTCACTTAACCCCATTGCCTAGCCAAAAAAAAAAATCAACACCCCATTAGAAGGATAAAGATGAGAAGACACCGCATGTGTTCTATGACCCAATCAATTATTTAAATAACTTGTAAAAGCAATATAGTAACTATAATCAACTGTGAAAGACTTAGTTACTCCAATCTATAGAATGATCCAAGACAATTTCGAAGAACTCATGATGAAAAATGCTATCCACCACCAGAAAGAGAACTAATGACTCCTGAGTACAAACCAAAGCACAATTTTTTTTTCACTTTCTTCATTTTTCTTGCTTTTTTTTTTTTGGCAACATGGCTAACATGGAAATGTTTTGCATGATTTCAAATGTGTAATTGATATTATGTTGCTTGCCTTCTCAATGGGTGGGGGAGGGGCTGGAGAGAGGAAGAGAATTTGGAATTCTAAATTTTTTAAAAAAAATAAACGTTCAAAATAAATAAATAATGTTAACCCTAAAAAATGGGAAATGGGTAACAGTCAAGATGTCAATTATGATCATCAGCATTTTTAAAAGTTTAAGCAATGTAGAAGCAATTGCCAAAATGAAGAGATCAAAAGGAGCCCAGAAACCATCTCCAGCATTAAACACTTGCTTTCCTCACCAATTGGAGAAATGTGGTATTAGGGGTGGGCCTCACTCAGGCCAATACTACATTAGTTCAGATTTGGTAGGTCATTGAACAGTTAACAAAAGGAGGTTTAATTCTGAAGAGCAATTTGGAACTATGCCCAAAGAGCTATAAAAACCATGCCTACCTTTGACCTAGCAAAAACACTAACTAGGTCTGTATTCCAAAAGAGACAAAAAAAAAAAAGGAAAGGGACCTAAATGTACAAAAATATTTATAGCAGCTCTTTTCTGGGGACAAAGAATTGGAAATTGAGGGGATGCTCTTCAGTTGAGGAAAATGGCTGAATGAGTTGTAGTATATGATTGTGATGGAATACTATTGTACTCTAAGAAATGATGGGCAGGACACTCTCAGAAAAACCTGGAAAGCCTTGCATAGGTTGATGGAAAATAAAATGTACTGTGTACAAAGTAGCAATAATATTGTAAGATGATCAGCTGTGAATGACTTAACTATTCTCAGCAATATAACGATCCATTACAGCTCTGAAGGACTTAGGATGAAAAATGCTATCCATCCCCAGAGAAAGAACTCTAATGGTGGCTGAACACAAATTGAAGCAACTTTTTTTTAGTTTTTTTGTCTGTTTTCTTTCATAACATGACTATTATGGATATGTTATGCATAACTACACATATATACCCTGTATGGAATTGCTTGCCTTCTCAATGGGGGGGGGAGAAAGGGAGAGAATTTAGAACTCAAAGTTTTAAAAATTAGTGTTTTAAAAAATTAAAAATTCAAAACATTTTTAAAAAAGAAAGTCACATAAAATTAAAAAAATTAAATTAAATTAAAAAAAAAAGAAAGGCACAGCTTTAACTTTGCTGTATTCCTGGGCCAGTCAAGCTTCAACTTTTTCACCTTTTTCTCTAAAGGGAAACTCTAGCTTAACCCATGTCATTGGAATTGGGGGAAGGAGGGAACCCTGGTAGATACTGGTGTTATCACACATGGCATACACATGCAACAGTGATTTAGAGGACATGTTAATCTGTAAAAATATTATGGAGGATGATGGCAAGTAATGAGCAGTATCAGCTTACAGAACATTGAAAGCGAAGATGAAAATGGAAGCCTGCAGAAAACTTGGCATGAGATTGAAACCAGCTCGTTCCAAGAACATTTGCAAATGAACCTGGAATGAGGACAAATAGATGCAAAGTTGAACAGATTTTTGAGTATTTCTACAGCAATCTATCTTCACCATTGATGGCAGTGGAACCACTCACCATATTTGGGCTCTCAACAGCTCAGTCTTTGATGTGATACACACAAGAAGATGGGGGAGGTGGGCATGGATGGATCAGAACAAATACACAGAAGAAATGTGAGATGGGGTGAAGCAATTTTTAAAGCCCTGGCAGATCATTGTTCAATCTGAAGGGAAGGGAGAGAATACCTCATCCCCAAAAAACAGATAATAAGTCAGTGGTGGTGTTATTCCCCCACAAAAAGTTACCTAGACGTAGATATTTAGTAACTACCAACTCATAAGCTTGCTTTCTCGTCTTCATGACATCTTCATGAAAATGATCTATACACTTATCAAAGTAACTGTGGATGAAAATATGAGAAAGGAACAGGTAGGATTTCATGGTTGATTTTCCATAAAAGTCATTGAGTCATTGAACTGTATAGAGAAAACAAGACTAGATGCATTTATTATTTATTGCAAAAAAAAAATGAAGTCAGATAAAAATTTAAAACATCCTCTTTACAATTTCCCATACTTAAGATCATATAACATTATCTGATAGATATACTATACAGAATTAGTTTTGTTCGGTGAGCTTCAGATTATAAGAGGCACCTAGGTAATGCAGTGAAAAGAGCTCTAGGCCTGGAGTCAAGAATAACTGAGCTCAAATTCAGCCTTAGATGCTTACTAGCTGTGTGACCCTGGGCAAGTCACTTGACTTCTATCTGCCTTAGTTTCATCAACTATAAAAAGAGGATTGTTATAGTACCTAGCTCCCAAGGTTGTTGTGATGAGGTAATATTTGCAAAGCATTTAGCAGAGTGCCTGGCATAGAATAGGCATGCTATTATTAATATCACTTTAGGCATAAAAGGTGGATGTCCACCAAAGGTGTTCACCATTGTCATGCAGGATGTCCAGTCCAGAATCCAGACAGAAAAAAGATTTCCGGGGCAGCTAGATGGCACAGTGGATAGAGCTTTGGCTTAGGAGTCAGAGGACCTGAGTTCAAATCCAGCCTCAGACACTTGACACTAGCTGTGTGACCCTGGGCAAGTCACTTAACCCCGATTGCCTCACAAGAAAAAAAAAACCCAAAGAAGAGAGATTCCCAATAGGTATCAAATCTTATCATAGATTTAGAACAGGAAGGGACCTTAGAAGCCATTTAATAAACTCCCTCATGTCACAGACAAAGAAACTGAGACCCAAAGAGTTTAAGGGGGTTCTGCTCAAGGTCACACAGGAAGTCAGTGGAAGATGGAGGGTGTGTACCCAGAGCCTCCGACTTTAAATCCAGAGCTGTTTCTTCAGCACTGGTTCTCCAAAGAGTCTTTTCTGTGGATAGTATCATCCTGATTTCACTGAGGCCCAGACAACTTCACGGCCTCCTCAAGGAGGTCCACAAGAGTCCATGCAAGAAATAACCATCGGCAGTGAACAAGAATCCCACGGGCAGAAGTCTGGATGGGTTCCCACGTGCACAAGTGGCAGGAGCACCCAACCCCATGCAACCACTCTCTCTACAAACTACATCTGGCCTTCAGATAAATATTTATTGGACTGAACTGCAGGACAGCCCCAAATCAAACTACCCAGCACGCGCCTTACAGAGCTAGACAAAAGAACAACCAGAGGCCTAGAATATCAAGGGAATACAGGATAAGGGGCTAGGCTTTTGAAGAGATAACAAAAATAAGGCTCTGACCTCCTTTCATTCAAGTCTCTGGAAGGAGCTGGTTTGTTTCTCTTTCCTGGAAAGGACTGGGAAGAGGCAAAAAAAAAAGTCAGCGAGATTTTACT